GCATTTGCTCTTTTATCCATCTGAAAGAACTGTCAATTCATATACGCGCGTCTGAAAACTTGAAAGCGACGGTAATCCACCGCAGGAAAACAGATGGCGGCTGTACATTTTACCAAAATGCCTTGCGAACCTAACAGAGCCTACAGGGCATAAAGAAAGCCAAATTTTTACAATATTTGTCCCTGTACTAAGGACATTGAGTAGCTTAGTTTTGAAGATTTTACAACGTTTCTGCACGTTTTTATGAACGTTGTTAAGGTTTTTGTGGGCTAAGAACTATGGGTAAATGTACTAGTCGCCATCTTTTTTCCTACGGAGGATTATCAAAACATGACAAATAATTTGCATAATTGCTTCAAAATTAATCTGTCGTTTTGAGCACCCCTCTAAAACTGTAGACTCCTTATTTCAGACATTTGCTCTCATATATTTATTTTTTTGTTTTGGTACCATATTATTCCTTAAAATGTTCCATTCTTTTCCTGAATGCAACTACACGACAACGTAAATAGGTTACTGGCAACACTAAATTTTTTCACAAAATTGATGCATGCACAATAATGAAACCACAAAGAGTACATGCAATGGGTGATCAAACCAACACATATAACAATATGTGAGTGCTTTCTAACTTTACAAAACAACAGAGGGTCTGCGCCATGTCAGATCTGAATTTGTTAACATTGTATTAACCATGTTTTCACAAGACAACTTACAAGTTACAGGATATGAACATGTTTGTACTCCCTTTAGCATATTAATTTAGTGGGTTGCCACGTCTTACAGACCCTTGAGGCCAGTCGGCATGTTATGTCACCCAGTGAGTTAATAAATCTTTGGAGCTAATCGTAAATAACTTGACTGGCCTCTAGGCCGAACACTGTTCAGGCAAACTTGAAGTAAGATTTTTTTTAATTTTTACTGCAGTCAGATAATGAGTTACTTGTGCCAGAAATGCAAAACAAAAACAAATTGGGGGTCACCGACTACGTTTCAGAGATAAAGCTTGTGGAAAACTACTTTGATTTTGATCCACAGGGGTTTATAGTTAAAAATCCACAGGGGTTTATAGTTAAAAATATTGAAGTTGAGTGAACGGAGGCAAACGATCTTCGTCATATTTTGTAAAAGTGGGTCTGTTGCGTAAATAATTCCAAATGTTGCCAACATTTTCACAAAACGTAACCCTTCAAGAGGTATTTGAAACCACCGCACAGATAAACGAACCTTAAAAGAACGGAATTCGATGATACATTTAATTTTACAAAAAATTGTAACTTCGAATGGTTAAATTTTCTTCATTTTTTCGCTAAACGTAGAAAATCGGTAGAGAAGATGATTCATCAAAAGAAAAATAAGGGTCAGTTATATCTAGAACGTTATTCTGGCTTACAGTGAACCACTCAAATCTTATTTAGAATATAAACCGATGGACAATCTGACCAGTAACGCATTGACTCATTGTTTGAATGAGAGTCAGGAGTCAAGTTAAATAGTTAAATGCTGGTCTTGAGTACTAACCTTAAAACGGGAATAAATGTTGTATTCCGGTACACAATGAACACAGTGATGCACGCAGAAATTGAAATCAATACAAACAGCCGGTGCGCTTGAATGCCTTTGATGTGTTTCAGAAGGCGAACCATTGCCATGATGTCGTTAAACGGCTTTAAACTGCTTTAACTAGCTTGTTTTGCTGTCCAACTTGACAATTACTTCGAGAAATCATCAGCACAAGTGACATACGCTGACCTACCTCCTGGGCAAACGTTGTTATGGCTCGTAGTAACGCCTTCAAGGCCGAAAATATTCTAACAAAAGGTGCTAGCGCTGCTTAGCAGCACCTCAGTCATTGCGACCAACTACGTTATATGCTTTATATGCCGCCTACCTTCTATGCTTTATATGCTTATGAGTTAGCCTAGCTTTAAAACCAGTTTTTAAGTGAGGCTTATTCTCGTTATTCTCGCATTGGCAAGATTGTGTTGTTAGTCTTTTGGAATGCTGCAGGTTTGACTTTCGTCTAATGTGCTCGTTGATTTCCATTTGACCCCGAACTTAATTATGCACGCAAGTTTGCCACTTTCGTTTTATTTTCGAGTATGCATAATTAATAAGTTTTTGTGTTTTAAGGCGAATGGTCAGGCTTCCCTAAAAAAGGGAGAGTGCAATGCCTGCCAGTCAACAAGACTAGTCCGCCACGCAACAACGGTTCGCCAAAAAAACGGGGGTGCACCAGCACGTCAAACTCACCGAGGGATCGAACCCCGCCCCTACAAACAAAAAACATAGGAACAAACAAACGAGGAACGAACAGGCAAAAACATCGGACAACAGAACAAACATACACCGTTCCAGAGCAACGGCGAAAGGTGAACCCAAAAGAGGGGCACCTGTCAACAGACTAATCCTATAAGAATAGGTTCGCCACCAATATGCAACTAAAACAAACCAAGACCAAAAACAACAACAATAAATCAGTCCAAAACAAACAGTCCAAACTCAACGAGGCACAGGCAAAAACGAGAGAACGAAACCAAACGGAGTGGGCGGCAAGACAGCCGCCTCGTTTGCATGCCTTTTTAAACAAAGGAATCTTTGACCGCAGACTCAAGTGCAATAAAATATTTGTTGATGAGTTCATCCCTTGAATTTCTTATCGTTGTTGAAACAATACAAAATAATACAGGGCGAGAGCTCTCGCCTCTTAGCGGCTTTCACCAATGTGACCCGGGTTCGATTCCGGCCCGATGTCATATGTGGGTTGAGTTTGTTGTTGGTTCTCGCCTTGCTTCGAGGGTTTTGTCCAGGTTCCCCGGTTTTCCTTCCTCCACAAAAAGCAACGTCTTGAAATTCGACCAGGAAGGAGCTAGGGCTAAGGCTAACGTTACTTTCTCTCTAAATATTGCAATTTATTTATTTGTTTATTTATAATACGAAAATGAAATACCTTTTGTTGTTCAAGAAATAATATTGTGTCACATGGTCCCTTATATTTTCCCAACTGCAAAAAAAAAAAAAGAGAGAGAGAAAAAAAGAAACTGATAACGAACATTTGTACAAAATAAATCCAAAATGATGATGGAATGTAAAAATTAATAATTCCTCGATGAAACGGAATTCTGTCAAAAGAAACGAACTTTGGCCGCCCTGCATGTCAAAGTACGGTTGCTATGGCAATGCTAGATGACGCGAGAAACATTTGACACATGAATATTTCGGGGAGGGACTAATGAATAGCCACAGAGAGTTTCAGCATCACAGAGAAAATTTTCTTTTCAAAATTCAGAAAAAAAAACCTCTGAAGAGATGGCATCGTTCCTCCCCCTCCCCTCTCCCCCCTCTTGTTGTAAATTAATTAATCATAAGAGAAAACAATCGGGAAAGCAAACTATTATTATTATGTATTATTTTTATCTACAATGTCAGAAAACCGTGCTTGCATGAATAGTGATGAATTTGTTGCTATCGCAAGAACTACCATTATCGAGTCCGAATTTCTCTTACCAAACTGATTCAAATGGAGTTGACATAATTGTGTTTATTGTTAAATGAATTCCGATTGATTTTTGCTCTCAATAAAAAAAAAACACAAATTTTATGGTCAATTGCTTACTCGATTTTTTTCAAGAATCTAAAAGCTATTCTTGAAGTTTCGGGTGTGAAAGCTGGTCACATGCATGTGTGAATTTGTTATTTTCATTTTAAAAAGGAAATCTCTTTATGATATATTATGAAGAACGAAAGTAGAAAAAAAAAATACAAATTAATGTAACACACCGGGTAACGCGTGGGTAAAACTTATGTGACGTCAAGCGGCTAGTGTTAACGCTGTAGTTAAAAATGTGGTCTTTGTCATTTGTTGAGAAGTAGCCAGATGGACAGGAAAGCTCTTGCAAAGCCAAATTACGTTTTGTTTCTTCGTCTCAACATGGGCTGGCCTCCCTTGGGAAAACCAATATTGTAACTGTCAATAATGAAGTCCGAAAGTAATTGGTTGTATTTATATTCCTTGAGAATTAACCAGAGGGACAAAAAATCCTGCGTTGCCAATTATTCTTTTTGCCGCTTGAGCCGTAACCTTCCTTGATCGGCGATCTTAAAATATAACATAAAAATGCGTGGGCAGTTTTCCAACCCATGAAAGCTGTTACAAATGTGTACAATTAGACTGTATGTATGTAAGGGCAGATAGCATGTCTAGCGTGACTTAATAGGGAGTTTAAGAAACCAGGACACGACGCCGAGGACAACGTCGGTTAAAAAATGATTTTATATCTTACCCAAGAATTTCGAGATACTCTAAAGTCATTTTTCTTTGTTTCTTAGTGTCAAAACTATCACGAAACTGAATCCGGGACAAGGCGAAACATTTGAAATAAAAACAAAAAAAAAATTCGCGTCGTGGTTCACGTTCTACGGACAACACAGACTTTGGTCATTTCACGTTGTTGTTTGGCAGAGGACGGCAAAGAAATGTACGAAGAATTATAACGCACGTGCACAGCTACTGTTCTGCTCATTAAACCTTTTGTTTAACGACGGTCGCGTTGCCGTTGCCGTCATGGTTTTCTTAAACTCCCTAATAATAGAGGGGAGTGATTATGAAGCCCGGCAAACTTCCGTGGAAGAGCAAACAATGGCAAGATTTATTTGGGAAGGAGCTCATACACTATGCATGATTACTTAATCGGAACGTTTCTATAGCTATTGATTAGTCAGAGGTACTACAGCTATTGTGTTTTGGTCAACGCCAAAAAATCGAGCAATCTCGTACAACAAAGAACTTTGCCGCGCTTCTTTACCATTGGCCATTATAACTGTTACTTACTTGTACTTTAATTGCTTTCTTTTAAGTTAACAAAAAGTGCTTATTGGTATTCTTAGAAACGTTTCGTGTTTTCTTTTCTTTTTTTTTTTTTTACTTACTTGTACTAACTCAATAACTATGAGGTGACTCACTTACAACTTACTTGTCGGAACCTTACATAAATAAAGAAGTAAACAATAAATGTCATAAATGAAACGCCTGATTGAAGTGTCGAAGTGAGTGCTCTACTATAGATGCTGTACTAACTGGAGGAACTGTAATGAGCAAAAAAGCATTGTAAATTAAACCAAATTTGCTAGAAATCTTAACTGTTTGGAGGCTGACCAGTTGACTATTTATAAAGCGGGGAGAAGTTGAATTTCGGATCACTGATCTCGAATCCATCTGGTGGCAGAGAGTAGATTCAATCGCGGTACCCGAGTCCAGATTGCAAATCTAGCGCCCTAGGTTTAGGCCACACCGCGCCTCCAAATTACATGAACGAATTCAATTTAGTTAAGTGCATGGAAGCAGATTTCTGTTATTATTTGATTAATTGACATCAGTAGGGATCTTTAAAACGTAACAATCAGAAAGACTACTAAGAAAGCCGGCCAACGGAAATTGCAGATACTGTGTTGTTGTCAAAACAAATAGAAGACCTCTATAGTAGTGCTTTAGACAGGTGTCCCTTTTCATAAGAATTGCTATAAATATTACTCTTTCAAAGCTAAAAATTACCTTGCCAGGCCACCGCACGGTTTGTAGAGAGACTCCCAGACCAAAAGTCCATCCAAGATGAACCTTACTTGCAACAACTCCTGGGCCAACTCGAGCGGAAGTTTTTCGAACGAACTAAATCAAAGTGTCTTTGCTAATTTGCCAGCTTGCTCTGAAACCGCTGGACAGAGTCCATCAGTGATCGACCCATTAGAGGATTTTTACAAAGCCGCTTTCGGTTCCGCCATCTTCATCTACGTGGTTTCGTTTATCACAATCTTAGCCAATAGTCTTCTGTTTCTCATTTTCTGCGTCGACCCACTGAAAATTTTCCGCAACTCAACCACGTATTTCCTCATCGGGTTGGCCATTGTCGACTTATTAACAGCGCTGGTTCAAGAACCCATCTACGCCACTTGTTTTATCATCCTGTATATTAAGCATCCTTCCTTAAAGAAATGTCGACCCTTTATGGAATTTGGAAGTTATTTCTCAGCGTTCTCTATAACGGTATCGTTGTTAATCGTCTTCGCCTTTACCGTGACGCAGTACATTGTGGTTTCATCACCTCTAAAGTACGGCCGCTTGGTGACCAAGAAGAAAGTCTTCATTAGCGTTGTGTCCATCTATCTTTACACTGCAATCCTCTGTTGTCTACCTTTGATGGGTGTTCCAAAAAAAGTCAAGGATGGTATAGACTTGTTCCTTCACAGCTATGCAGTGGTTCTGATCACAATAGTTTTCTACATCCTTCTGCATCACACAATGAAAAAGAAAATGGCGTCGGGAAATACACTTCAGAACGAAAGTAAATCCCGTGAGGAGAGCAAACATACTCAAGTGCAACGAAACTTTGTTCGTTTGAACGTGGTCCTTCTAACTGTGTTGATTGTGTGTTTCGTGCCAACAATGGTAATGATGACCATAAGACTATTTATAGAGGACTATCTGCCTCCCATCCTGATTGCAAACTTAATGACAGATAACCTGCACTACCTGAAATTCCTGCTCGACCCGTTTGTCTACGCGTGGCGCATGCCGAAGTATCGAGAATCCCTCAGTAAAATTATTTGCTCTAAAAATGGCAATGTCGCTAAGGAATCGAGTGGAAATGGAATCAGGAACAATTCAGCTGTGGTGGAGAGTAACGATAATGAAGTAACAACTGCAGAACTGAACAAATCGGCAATAACTTTGCTTAGCTTTAAAGCTATGCCTCTATACTAAGATTGAGAAACTTGTTTCAAATGAACGATGTGCATGTTAAATCTTGAGAATATCGTCGACTAGCTTGATGGAGACTTTAAATGAGATCTAGATTCCAAATTCCTCATGTCCCTTATTACCAGTAAGGGGGGGCGCGGTAGTTAGTGCGCTCGTCTCCGGATCGAGCGGTCCGGGGGACATCGTGTTGTGTTCTTGAGCAAGACACTTTACTCTCACAGTGTCTCTCTCTACCCAGGTGTACAAACGGGTACCGGAGAACTTAATGCTGGGGGTAACCCTGCGATGGACTAGCATCCCATCCAGCGGGGAATAGAAATGCCCTTTACCGCTTCATACTACGGAAACCGGGATAAGCTCCGGCCTGATGAGCCACTTGGCTGGTATACAGACTTCACCTTATTATTAGTAAAACCGAGAAACAGCTATGTCTAATCAATTGAGTTTTCATGCCGTCTGCCTTTGAGACTTCATGCCTAATGTGGACTGGACGATATATAAATTACAATTTTTTCATGTAGATACAGTACAAGTGAAATAATATGAAATTAATTAAAATGTTTTATGCATACCAATCTCGGCTATTTTCACACTGAATTTCTTACATCCTTTGATGTGGAATAGTTATAAAGCATTTATCACAACCAAAAACAGCGCAACAACGACAAAAAAAGGGAAAAAAGAAATGAAAAGAAAGAAATAAACTAAGAGAAAACAAACAAATAAATAAAGAAAAAAAGTTGGTTGAGTAAAAGATCCCAGATCTTCATATTGACTGAGCGATGAATCGTTGCCGAAACTACTCTAAACTTCCCAGCTACCGAACAAAATGTATAAATATTCATGATATTATTGGAAATAAACTGCTGAACAAAACAAATTAACGTGTTGTGTTGCATGAATCACTGTTTTCATAGGTCCTTAATATTTCTGTTAGTCGTAGCTCGTAGCTCATGTTCTCCTGTAGCAACCAAATAACATGACTCTATTTTGTATAAATTCCCACAAAAAAACAATGCTTTAGAGCGCTCCTGCTCACAGATACATGGCATATGAACGTAACTCCTTGACCTGAAAAGGTGTATCATTTTACTTTCTCAATTGAGGTCATTTGCAATAACTTGGAAGTCATGGCTATGCTAACGTGGATCAAAGTTAGTAACTATGAGTGGATACAACGAATATCAGATATAACCCGCGCAAGAGCTTTTCAGTCTCGATCCAATGAAAACACAAAATACAGTCACGCCCAACCGGTCCCTGGGAGGTCATGGGTTCGAATCCTTTCGGGGACTCAGATTTATTCTTTATCCCATGCTTGTAGGCTCGATTTCCAGCCGTTTTGGGAGTGCGATTTTGCTCACAAAACGGCTGGAAATCGAGCCTAATGCTCGTGGGACTCAGATGTTTTCTTTGTCCCATGCTCGTGGTAACATTTCATCTTTAAGAAGAAATCCAGTGTACAGTATGCCCAATAGCAAAATTTTCAGGCCAAAAAAAAAAAAAGAAAAGTCGAATGTCTCGGTGGTTGACCGTGAGGGGATTGAAGACGAATTGAAGCTTGGAAACCTGGCCAGAGCTTGGTAACCACGCAGCTGTCTGTTTTCTGTTTCCAACACCGCGGAAGTCGAAGAATTTGCTTGAAATTTCCGTCTTCTCCCTTACAAAATATTAAGTTGGATATGCAGATTACCGTAAAAATATTGAATGGCCAAGAAGTAAGACTGGAGGTATGTGGAAAATCCGAGAATGTTTTTGATATGCGGAAGAAGGACTTCGGCCAGTTCTGGCCAGTTCGAAGATCTCTAGAAAACCTCATGAAATGGGACAAGTTTGTTACATTATTAGTGGAGTCTACGATTTCAACACACATGCCCACCTTTGTAGTGATCTTACAGATTTTTCGTGTAAGAACAACCTCGACACTAACATTGCTTTAGTACTGTACTCATTTCTTGCGTCTAAAATTATGTAGGTCTCTGAAAATGAGCAGATCTCACTGGTAAAACAGCTTGCGTCTGAAAAACTTGATGTGCCTGTGGAACAGCAAAGATTAGTATTTAAAGGGAAAACTTTAGCAGGTGCAGTGTATGTAATTTTGTGTTTTAATAGTACCAGCTGATGTACAGATACTGTATGTATCTTGGTGGTTGTGTGAGAGATTCAAATGACAAAGGCTGGCCACGTTGGATGACAGAAACAATATACAGAACAAGTTAGAAATCTTTTTCGTCATTTAATATGGCAGTAATGTCATCTCATGACCCATCACGTGTACCAAGAATAGTTCATGACTTTTATTTCAATATTAGTAAGAAAATGAAGGTTGACTTCAGTATCTTGGTCTTCTTGTTGTACCTCTATTAGATGTAATGAATTGCCTCATATGCTGGGTTTATGCTTGAAAGTCCATTCTATGCCTGTTCCTTATGACCAGAAGAGCCAAATGCCTTGTTTACAATAGAAATGTTCACACAGTCATTGGCTAATTTTCATTGTCATAAAGCGGACAGACACATGAATTTATAATTTATGCCACAAGCGAGAGCATACAATCTGACAATTTGTTATTGTAAAAAACAAATTGATGTCTGTTTTTCATACGTCTGTCCTGTTATTGACAATGAATTTCATCATAACATTGTCAAAGTAGTCTGCGGATCCACTTGGCTATCGCCTCTTGGATCCACAGCCACTTTGACAATGTTATGACAAAATTCATGATCAATAATAGGACAGATACATAAAAAAACTGACCTCAATTTATTAAATTGGTGCAGGTGGCTGTTACAAGTACTGTTACTACCCCTATATAGGATGCTAGTCAATAACTAGACATCCTCTACCACCACCACCCCTCCCCCCTCCCCAGCAGTTTATCTGGTTAACCAATCAAGCCCCTGGTGGCCTACTTTTACATTGTTCACTCCTGTTTCGAAACGCTGCCTTGCAAGCCCTCCTCCACCGCCCACCCTCCTGTTCCCTCACTGCCCTCACAAATTCTATGCAAAGGTTGGCCTGCCAAGCCACCTCCAAGGCCATCGAAGAAGACCTGAGAAATATAAATATAACCTGTACTATAGCAGTGTAAAAACTGTTCTACTCACTTGATGCTGCAGTCAGATGGCAGCAGAAGTGTATCCCATTTTACCTCAATCTACTAAGTCCACTGTATTTTTATTTCCAATGCCAGATTCTTCCACCTTACAAGAGCATCAGATTACTGAAGGGAGCAAACTTCACCTATCCGTACGAAAATCAGGCCATGGTGCCAGTAGTGGAAATCCTGAAGACTTTTTTGGACTGCTCAAGGAAGTAATCAGAGGTCACTTCAGTGAGCAAGATACTGAGCGAGTGATGCAGAAATTTAGAGAGGTTTGTCATCATTTTGTTATTTATTTTTAGTGAGAAGTGCATAGGACGGAGGACTATTGGGGTTAGAATGTTGGGAAAGGAACTTCAAGAAAGCGAAATGCTAATTCCTGATCAAAAGTGTGGCCTTCAGATGTATTTTTGTCAGCTGGATACAATATGATACTAAAAGACCGTAACAGAAATCTGTTAAACTTTTCATTGTTACTGTAACTCAGTCAACTTGTGTAGGGGTAGCTGAGGGTGCATATGAACTCCCTTGCAGGGTAGGTGAGGCAAGAAGCCTTTGGAGAAGACTGAGAAATTGCCTCTTTCCCACTCCCCAGAGATTTCTTTGGTACCAATTATTGTGTTTTGGTCCTTTACATATTTTAGGGGGTAGGGGAAAGTTTTGTTTTTGATCATAGCTTTGAAAATAAACATGGTGTAGTGTGTCGTGGTTTTCTTCTAGATGACAAAATGACTTAATTTTTCTACGTTTATCAACAAAACGTGTAAATTTTGTCTTTCTTTGTGGACTTTTGACAACAGTATTACAAAAAATTACATGTGAACTTTTTATCTTTGGCGCTTGTAACTAGGACAAATGCCCTAGAAACAAGACATTTCTATTTGAGGGTCAATCGGTCATCATATATTCGTTTAAAATGTTATTACATGTAGATAATTATAATTAGTTAATTAATCAACTAATTTTTGATTTTTTTTTTTTGTTCGGGCTACTGAGTTTGACTTTTGGGCACCCTAACCTATAAGGTTGGGTGCCTGAAGGGCTCCCTAGAATTTTTCTCAGAGCACAGCCTTCTGACTTTTACATTCTCAACAGATGAACAACAACATGCATTTGGATAACACAAATATACTTCATAGGACACTTATAAATTTAATATGAAAGTCACTATTTTTCACGAACACGATCTTTATGGCGTTCACTTAAATGTACACGTATTTATGATTAAGTGAAGCTTGCTGACTTTGCACTTTCCATTCGGAACCCCTCGTTATTGTCACATAAGTTTGAGCAAAGCACTGTACGTGTGAGTCAAAAGCTGGTCACATTTAGATGAAATTACATACACTCAGACAAGTAAAAGATTTCAGCTGGTTGTCTGACAGAAAAGACAGATTGCATTATCTGCCAAAGCCGGTAAAATACTCAGAACTTTGTGATCTGCAGCATAACATAAACCTACACAATCTGCACAGACAGATTGGAATTAGAATACAGGGTTGTTGTATGGGTGTAATGCCTGCTAACTCCTTTGTGCGACTTCAATGCAACTACCAATCCCGCAGTGACAATCATTCATCTCAGTGTTTACTGACAATCATTCAACACGATGCATGAAAGATTGACACAAAACTCTGTGAAAAAAGTGATTTTTACTGTTTTTGCTCACAAATGAGTACAGGAGGAGCTGACAAGATCCTAGATGTTCTGTTAAATAGCTAGTGTTGAAAACTTTGGCTAGTATTTAGTTGTTATTGTTTCAATTCTTCAGGACTTTAAGACATGGGTATGGTCTCTCAGTCTCGATGACATTGAACGCATGGCAGCGCTTCATTTGAACGAGTCAACAGAGTCTGCTTCTTGTTAATATTGTGTACCAAGGCTTGCTTGAAAACATTTGGTGAGTGGTTAAAAGTCCATCTGAAACCAGGAGTCAAATGGAAGCAAAAGGG